ATAACCCAAACCTTTCTTAATGATGCATGATTGTAGCCCGCACCTTTCTTTTTTGGCCAAAACCTTCCCAGGTTTTGGCTATCGAACAGCGAAAACCGTAGGTCTCTCTCTATCTTCTGTGAGAAGTTATTCAAAAAGTGGCACACCGCACTGTATTTTGGAACGGACAGTAGATGAAATAAATATTCCATTTTTGCGTGTTTGTACTGAAATCTAAAAGAGTTATAACTCGATCAGAATCGGTTCAAACTGCTTCAGAATATCAACATGTACTTGATTTTATGTGTTAACACGAGATTCGCGATGGTTGGAAGCCTCTATTTCAATAAATCCTGAGATTTCTAGGCCAAAACGCTGAGCAGTTCCAGGGCTTCGCGGACAATGTCTGTAGCTTATGAAGACGTCGCTTAGATCCTGTTTTGTAGATAGCACTTTTTTCTAACTACTGCTGTAAAAAAACTAACAGTTTAGTTTTTTAAATGTTTTCGTTATGCAGGAGTTTTCTAGACATTTCTTCAAAAACCGATATTTTAAAAAGTTCTGGAAAAGCATTCCGCTTGTAACAAGATGCTTCATAAACTGCTCTTTCCATATAGCAGAAATCCGCTTTTCTAGCTCTTCTCGTTTCTGAGTTATTAAAAGAATGGGCAGTGATTATTCTTTTGTTGGATGGACAGTAGTTACTTGTGTAGTAGTTTGGAAGGTCATTGAATTAAGTTTTGTGATTATAAACTCTTCTTGTTTTAAATTTATTTTACAAATTATTGTTAATATAAAATGGTTGAGAAAAGAGAGTGCAGCTGATCGTCTTCTGAATTATAATTCATATCACCATAAATCTATAAAAAGAAATATAGTAGCGAATATGGCAAGTGGAATAATATCAACTACGAAGAATTGCCAAGAATAACAACAGGATCTAGAAAAATTAAAAACAATGCTTAAAAATTCCAAGTATCATAATAGAGAAGTCAATAAATTAATACAAGAAACAATGAAAAGACAGAATCAAACTTTCACTGCATCACAAACAAAAACTAATGAGTTTAAACATTTCATTATCCTCCCTTATTCGCCTGATAGTGAAGTGTTATAACGCAGATTAGAATAATTTAAGATTCGAGTTTTCTTTTCATATAAAAACAAGATTAGATCATTATTTAATTCATCGGTTAAACTACAAAATAAGTCTGTTGTATATCAAATAATATGCAATTGCGACAGTGTATACAATGGTGAGACAAAAGTAGGTGTTTGGTACAGAATGAAACAACGTGAGAAGCATAATGATCATTGAAATTCCGAAATGTTCCAGCATTTTCATAAAAATAAATTTCAGTGTTTGTTTAGACTATCAAATGCGTTTGTCATAGATAATGAGATAGACTGAAGGAAGCAACGTGTTAAAGAATCCATTTATTCAATTATTCACAAATTCATAAACAGACATAATGACATAGATCGTATGGTTACCTTTGTTGCATAAGAATACGGACCAAATCAAAAGAAAGCACAGTATGCATTTCTATCGACTGTAGCATAAGATTCTTATAAGATTTCTATAGGAATCTTATATAAGATTTGATCTCTAGGAAGATACGTGAGAATTTAACAAAGCAGAATTTGATTTTGTATAAATACTGTCTATAACATTGTTGATTCGTACACTTCTGTACAAACGATGGTTTAATTTACGTCTGTTCAAAAGATAGTTGTCAGATTTTTATTTGTTCATATGCCGATGCAGATAGTCTAGCTAAATAAAATTGCTTGTTTCTCGATAGTATTATTTTGAAGCAAAAACAGTTTGAATGCTTTTACATGAACTCGATTGAAAGAGGTAACTTCTTTATTCAGGTTTTTTTCTCAGCTCTACCCTAGTACTTCTGCATCATTCTAAATTAGATAACAGTGCTATGACTATGCGTTCTCCATCCGTTTGTGTGCTATCATGCTCTTCCCATAGTAAGTTATGCATTCTTGAAAATAATGCGAGGGAGCACAAAAATGTGCTCATTTTAATCATTATTTGTTATGTAACAACCAGTTGTGCCATCACCTTCTTTTTTACATGTGTACGTAATTGGTAAGAGATTAGAGAAAAATATCCATACGAATTATATCATCTTAATTATAGAATTAGAAAGCCACGATACTTTAAAATAGCTTTTATACATAATAATTTTGGGGAAAAACATAGCATTCTTGTAAGAATAATCACAGGTAACGTAAAACTCTATACTAATCCAAAATATGTTTGCTGCTTCAATGACAATTATCTCGAAGTCGAAAAAGTAGTATAACGAGCCTTCATATTATGACAAGATGTTACGAATAGAACAACAGCTCATTGATTAGTCAGTTTTAGCCTTCTTCTGCATACCTTTATCCAAGATTAAAAGTAATAAATAAAGCGAATCATTTACGTTATTGTGGATAGAGAAAATCTTATGAACAAAGACCTTCGGTGTGAAGAGTTTATTAAAGTATCTACTAAAATAAACACTGAGATGCTAAGGTTCAGATTGTTGAACTTTTAAATACGCGACAACTTAAGAATCTGTCAGCGTTCAAACGTAGTGGATTAAGGGGAGTGGAGGATTCAAGTTTTTCCACCAATTTGTAGAGGACACTTCGGAGTATGTGTCTCAACAAAGCTTTCGATTCCGGATTTGTGGTTTTTGGTTAAAAAAAGTTTGAAGTTTTTTTCGGGTTTCTGCCCTATTTTTAAAACTTGACTTTTTGATATTAAGAGTTGATTCTAGTGTAGCCTCTTTTACGACATAGATATGATAAGCCTTTTATTCTTTCACAACACAGGCGGAAAAATATTCCATTATTATATTCTAAATTAAAACTATCAAAAAGCAAAAGATCAATTTTGTACGAGTCTATGAACTTAGCTTTGAAATAAAACCACAAAACTAAATCCATACGCTAACGACCTTAATTTTATGCTCCAAAGTTAAACTAGAATTCATTCTACGATTATGATATATATATAAGCCTGTCAAAAGTGCATATCTTCCATCTATCATCTCTTATCTATTCTTCTTGCGCTAAGGATTCAAGACACTATTGTGTTGCCAAAACAACGTAAAGTACTTCGATCAAATATGCAAACATAAAGCTGAATTATACAATAGAGGCAGAAAAGTGAAATGTGGTGGAAGAAATATTCGTTGACTTTCTTCATGTCTGTAAAATACAAAAAGTGTGCCGACACGTTGCTGTTGGTGGGACTGTAATGGTAAGAATACAACTCTTTGTTGACTATATTACATGCGCTCTCTAGAAAAAGCAATGCATTTCTCTTCTCTTCAGTTATGTCAATAGAAAACTTCTAATAGAACGCATTCTTCCTCTTCCTTCAGGTGTTCGCGAAGAATTTCTTTTCATAAAAGTACAAGTGCCATTGATTCCTGTGAGTAAATATCAGTACAACTAGAACTTTTGAGGCAAGCACCTGAGCATCACAATAGCAAGCGTTGTTTCTTGATTAGATCATAATGTGGAAAACAAGAGATGCAATTGCCCTTCACCATCAACATCTGCTTTTAGGTAGCCTTTTCTTCTAGCTTCGATGGCGTCCAGCAATCCACAACTCACAAAATGGACAAACACAAACATTGAACAGCAGAATCATAAACAAGACCAAAATCTAGAAACATTTTCTCTCTTATGGCTTGATCAGAATGTGAATGAAAGCAAAGACAATCGAGAAACACAAACACAATTGCGGAGATCGATCAACTGTTTATTGACGTTTGAAAGTGGAAATGAGTGTGAAGAACATATTGGACAGAGCAAAGATGAAAAGATTGTTCTAATCGTTTCTGGTCGATTAGACAGAGAGATTGTCCCGAGAGTTCACGATTTACCCCAGTTAAGTACCATTTACGTTTACTGTATGGACAAAAGAACGAATGAAAGATGGGCAAAAGCTTATAAAAAGGTAAAAGAAGTTATGTTCTTAGCACCAAACAACTGCAGAGAGAAGCAAGCATTCTCTTACATAGCTTCAACTTCTCTCCCATCGATTTGAGAGCCAAGTGAGCAGATGTGTGGTACATTAAAGTTCTCTCATCTCTCTTTCGAAACTAATCGAGATCATTCTGTGATGAACAATTTTCCTTCTTTTCGCTGTGCTCAACTTCTTAGATTAGTAGAAACAAAAGCTAATGGTCTCCAGAACCTGGAATGTGCCTAAATGCTGATACAGAAAATATTGCCTCGACTTGGCATAATAGCCTTGTCTTTGAAAGACACCTTACAAGGAGACAAAGACACACTTTGAAGTTCTGAAAATCACTCTATGCTGTCTCTATAATCTAACTGTAAATATGTGGGTTAGCGAAGGCGTGATTAAATGATGATGCTTCTGCAACTAGATCCACTTGCTGTCTGGAGGTGGCACACTGTTGCTCCGTCTTCTTAGCAGAGTTTTACAGCAAACAAACGCGAAACAAGTGACAGAACTCCGTGTACTTTTTAGAATATCCCACAATTCCGCAGCCTTCATTTATTTTCTGTTGCTTTTCTAGATCCGAGCCGTAATTGTTGAGCTAAAGGAGCTCGTCGAGACAATAGGCAAAGATCAGGCGAAACGAGAGAAAACAGAAGATTCGATCTCAATCAGCATCTACGATAGAACACACACAAATCTCAAATCAGACAATAGCTCATTCATGTGGTTTCAGCTATTTATTGAAGTTCTACTCCGAATGAAACATTCGCCAACATCGAAAGATGAACTTGTTCAAATCTGCAACGAATACTATCAAGGTAACGATGCAGAACTTGACATTATTCGTGAATTTCATCAAACATACAACTCGTCTGATGCTGTACGATGGTACACTAGAGAGTGTTTTCTCTACAAGATGCTGAACAAAGCGCTTCGCGTTCAGAACATCGACATTCTCTTCACATTTCGATTTCTAATCACCGATATTCACAACCAGCTCGTAAAAGAATCGTCCGACACAAATCTTCGTCGATTATACCGCGGTCAAGTGATATCAAAAGAAGAACTTGCTCGCCTGCGTTCAAGTATTGGTGAATTCATCTCAATAAACTCCTTTCTATCCACAAGTCGTAATCAAAAGAAGGCACTTCAATTTACTCAAAGTGTTCAGCGGGTAGATCTTGAATGTGTTCTCTTCACAATTAAAGTCGACAGTCGAATAAAAGCAAAACCATTTGCCGATATTTCCCGATTGAGTTATTTCTCTGATGAGGAAGAAACCTTGCTTATGCTCGGTTCGATCTTTCGACTTGAAAGTGTTCACTACGACAAAGAACAGCAGATCTGGATGGCTGATTTAGATTTATGCAACGAAGATGACCATGATTTGAAACAAGTGTTTGGGTATATGAAGAAAGAACTGCGGAGTAAAACTACTCTCAATTCACTTGGAAATTTGTTCTGTCAGATGGGTGAATTGGACAAGGCCGAAAAGTATTATAAACGATTGTTAAGTGAGCTAGCAGTGGGTGATTCTGATATTGCTTCGTGTTACATAGGACTGGGTAATGTTGCTAGACGGAAAGGTGAATATGATTTAGCTTTGATGAATTATGAAAAAGCATTGAAAATCAAATTAAAAGCTCTTCCACCCGATCATCCTGATATCGCCTCATCATACAACAATATGGGTATTGTACACTTGCACAAAGGTGAATATGATTTAGCTTTGATGAATTATGAAAAAGCATTGAAAATCTTCTTAAAAGCTCTTCCACCCTATCACCCTGATATCGCCTTAACATATAACAATATGGGTATTGTACACTTGCACAAAGGTGAATATGATTTAGCTTTGATGAATTATGAAAAAGCATTGAAAATCCAATTAAAAGCTCTTCCACCCGATCACCCTGATATCGTCTCAACATATCTTAATATGGGCCTGGCACATGAAGGGGCTCGTACTTGACAATCAGCATTAGAGTGTCATAACAAGGCAGCAGCAATAGGACGCAAATCACTGCCGGCAACGCATCCACAGCTGGTAACCATTGAGAACGACATTCGAAGAGTGAAAGTTCTGTTAAAGTAGACATTCGAATGGCTTCGTCCTGTTCTCAAGTGTGGGTTGTTCTTCTAGTTTTCAGGAAATAGCCACAACAAGCACTGCGATGTTCGCTCAGTTGTTAGGTTGTCGATTATTTTGAGAAATGCTGATTTCAAGTTTTCAATTGTTACTTTTGAGCTGTGTTCATTGACTAGAGCACGGATTAGTGGTTAAAATTGTTCATCTGTGATCACGACAGACGCTCTCTATTTTCGTCCGGCTTTGCTCAAGTCATACATGGGATAGAAGTCGTCGCACTGAGTCATAAAACGTTTGTTTCAGACCTGGACCAACCGAGAAATGAATCCGGGGAACTTTTATTCTTTCATACCACAGAAAAAATCGGTCTTGCAAAACTCTCTGAGGTTTTCGTCTAGCTAATGATCTAAGTTGCATGCGTCTGGACGAGTTCTATCTGACACTGTGATTTTTAGCTTTGGGCCAAGTTCGGGAATGAATCTGGGGCGCTTCTACTGTAAAAGTCGGCTTTGCATACGTGAAAGTTAGAGTATTGTAAATTTTTCTTTCAACTGGTGCGTTGATTTTTTAAATGAACTACGCCATTTTCTGTATGATGAAAATGGTTAGAAATCAAATGAATTGGCTTTTTAATACATATATTGCTTCACAACTGCTATACCAGCTACTGGATCCACTAGGTTTTGGCCCGAACGCGATTCATTAGTTGTGAACGTTCCCTCGTTAGCTTTGCAGTTACGGTGCAGGCAATTGAAACTTCAAGTAAAAATTTTTTTGCCGTGTTTTTCACATCAGTTGATAGAGTGAGAGTTGCTGATCACGAAAAACAACTGTTTACCTTACATAAATATCTTTTTCAGGTCGAAAAATACGAAAAAATCGAAGTATGTCGTATTTTTCAAAATACGCCTTATATTTCGGTTCGTGCTTTCTCTGAGTTTCTGAAAATATTTTTTTCAGATTCAGCATCAAAAACTGAGCCTAGACGAGTT